ACGAGTTAGTTAATTGCATCAAAAATTAAGAACGTTGAGCTATATCTAAATTATTAATAAACAACAATTTATTTAATAATAAAAGGTTTAAATTAATATGAGACAATATTAAATCCATTCAGTTTGAAAAAKAAGTTAATTACTATTTTAATTTTAATTAACACCTGATCTCGCCTATAGTGATTATTTTACATTTTTGTTAAACTATAACAAAATATTGTATTAAATTGTACCCCATATTCCCCTATTCCTTCATATAATTGCACATTTCTAGCTACAATGATTCAGATAATTAAATATTAAAGGTTTGTATCAAACCAAGGAATCATCAATTGATTATAATATGTACCTATTTAAATACTATTATACATGCAGTGATTAAACACAAAAAACAATGATGGTATTTTACGAATAATTATTATCGGTATTAACGGCAGTTATAGATATGACGTACTTAACAGTGCAGGATTTTAAATTGGCCTATTCTGGAAATAGATGATCACAACGGATTCTTAAACTACCTTACAATTATGCAAAGAAACTTGAAAACAATAATTATGCTCTTAACTGGGATTTGTCTTTTAAGCGTGTTAATTTGCGTGCCATTGAATGAGTATAATATTGTAGTAATAGTTGAACATTTTATGGAAACAATAACAGTTGTGTGTTCTATAATACGATTTCTATAATGTTTTCAAAACCCACAACGAAATGGAACGATAAACGCGCTGGCGTTGCGCGTTGAAGCACGTCGGGCCGTAAAGTCGCGAAACGCTGTTTAAACAGACAACGTGACACGGCTGTGTTTACGTGGCTGTCCGTGGCCAGTGTTCGCGCCGAGAGTCGCGTCGATAGTCGCGCGCATTCCGTTGCCAGCCGTCGCCAAATCGCATTACAGACGAGAAACCGGTTCCGTTGCAGCTAAAGCTATATAGACGACGACAAACATGTACGCTGGTGGAGGCGCAGCGCGACTGTTGCTGGTGGCCGCGTTTGCGGYGGCAGTGGCGGACGACGTGCGACGGCCGCGGAGCAAGCCGACCAGGGTTTACCGGCCGAACAAGGACGCGGTGCAGCTGCTCGAGCATGTGATGATGTACGAGGAACAGTGGACGGACATACTAGATGAACACATCTTGCTGCTGGGTGATCCACCTCACCAAGGAAGAATGTTGGACGCGCCCCTRTTGGGGCCAATGCAGGATATCGACGCCATAAAAAAAGGCGAGGTGCCCATATACGATGTCCGCAAAATCTTGACCACCATAACCAACCATTACAGCGCCATCCGGTCGTTCGTCGAGTACGGCGCCAAGGCAGTGCGCGGTGCGCTGGCTTGCTACACGTTCAAGCAAGTTTTTTTCCAGTGGAAGGGCATAAGACAGTTGATCGACGATGAAGCCGATCCAATCTTAATYGAGGGTATTGCTGACACGATGAAAAAGAATACGTCCAAGTACATTGACTTGCTGTCCACCGTGGCCGACGACGATTTGACCATAATATTGGACGTCTACTGGAGGAGCATCGAGCTTTTGCAGTATAACGGGGTTCAGCACATAAACAGATATAAATACCCGAGTTATTTGAAAGAGTCCACGAAGGAACTTCTGGGTAGTATCTCCGATTTTATGATCTCAAACTGTCTCACATACTCGACCGAAGAGGAGTTCTATCGGAGAACAGGCGTGCCGAAGAAAACCCCGATGCTAATGGACCCATATCTCGAACCGATAATCGCTTCAAACACTATGGCCGAAATGATCATCGAACAAGCAGAGCACATGATCCTGAACGCCCAACACCTGAACATCGTCACCATGACAGACAACACGTGGTCGTCGCTGTTCTTCTACCGCGATCGACCGCGGACGGACAGCACTAAGGTG